CACTCACTGCCATGCCTGTCACTCACTTCCATGCTTGTCACTCACTTCCATGCCTGTCACTCACTGCCTGTCACTCACTGCCATGCCTGTCACTCACTTCCATGCTTGTCACTCACTTCCATGCCTGTCACTCACTGCCTGTCACTCACTGCCATGTCTCCCTGCCATGACAGATTCTTACTCTGGTGGAACTGTAACCCAATAAACTCTCTTTTGTAAGTTGCTTTTGGTCATGGTGCTTCACTACAACCACAGAAAAGAAACTAACACAATGTCTCATGGGAAAATCCAAGAGTTTGAAAAACACTTGAATGAGTTATTCTTCTCACTACAAGAAAAAAAAAAAAACCTGACAATGGGAACTTAAGGAAGAAAGGGTTTATTTTGCTTCACAGTTTGAGGGTATAGTCCATCATAACAAAGAATACATGGTCCAGGAGAGGCGACTGGTCACACTGTGTGTGCAGTCAGGAAGCAGGGTGAGAGAAGCTGCTCTTCAGCTTGTTTCCTGTTTAACTCAGAAAGGGATTCCAGCCCAAGAAATGGTGTCGCCACACTTAGGGTGGGCCTTCCTACCTTAGTTAACACCATCCAGAAACTCCCCAGCAGACATGCCCAGAGGTCTGTTTCCATGGCAATTCTGACTCTCACCACAGCTCTAAAGAATTGGGGCACACTGAATCAGAATTTGTGTGATGATGAACCATACAGAGCTTGATGTCCACTACAATAAACATTTAACCAGTGGCTGCTTTGCACTTCTGGCATAACTAGTGTGAACTGAGATGCACTAGGAGTGGAAAACTGGATCTCAAAGACTTAGTACTTAGAATATAGGGGCTGGAGATGGGTCAGTGGTTAAGAGTACAGGTTACTCTTCCTGCAGATCTGTGTTCGATTCCTAGCACTACACGGTAACTCACAACTGTCTGTCTAGTTCCAGGGAATCTGACACCCTCTTCTGACCTCCTTGGGTACTAGACACACACATGGTTCACAGTCATACATGCATACAAAACACCCATACACAAAAAATTAAATCTTTTTTGTTTGGTTGTTTGGTGATTTTTATTGTTTTTTATGACAAGGTTTCTCTGTGTAGCCCTTGCTATCCCAGAACTTGCTCTGTAGACCAGGCTGGCCTTGAACTCACAGAGATCCACCTGCCTCTGCCTCCCAAAGGCTAGGATTAAGGGTGTGTATCACTGTCCCGCGCCCGCTCTGTATTCCTCGCCAGCAAGAAATACACGCAGGACACTCGGATCCTTCTGCAGACAAGCTTTAATGCATTAGACTGAACAGAGACTGAGCAGAGACATTGAACCAAGAAAACCATCCCTATATAAAAGGCTGACCAGCCGCCTGGGACGTATTACCCTATGAATGGCTTCAGCTCCTCAGGCTAAAATGAGCCACGGGATAGGCAGAGATCAAAGGAATGGAGATAACCCGGCGCCTGTGAAGTAATTCACACCTTGGTGTCTTCAGGCAGCATTATAATGCAGGAACCGGCTTCCTACATATC